GCAGTGGGCCTCGGCATAGCCGTGAACGCAGCTGGTGAAGAGGCCCTGGGCGTATTGGTGGAACTTGGGCAGCTCGTCCAGCAGCTGCGCGTTCAGGGCCTCGTAGTTGTTCCGGGCCGACTGCAGCTCCTCCAGGGTTTTCTTGTCCTTTAACTTCTCTGCCCGTTCTGTGCAGTTGTAGAAGTCCAGGAGCTTGTCGAAGCGTTTCTGAACTAGCTTGTGGGGTCCAGTAAACATGCTGAGTAGCTGATTTAAGGGCGAGATGACAAGCCGCTCTGTCCTCTCCTTCTGTAGGGATAAGAAAGGCATGGTGCTTGGCCTCCCCGCTGATTCTCCCAAACACTCCTGAGGCTGATTTCATTATGTCCTGTACCAGCTGCTTTGCCGCTAGTGTACAAGCTCAACCTGTGTGTTCCCATAATAGTGATCTGAGCCAGCAGCAGACTCCACAAAACTTTCCCATTGATACTTCATCCAAAAGTCCCACATAGCACAGCTTACAAAATGTTAATCCCAGTTTAAACCCTTAGCTGACAAATGCTAAACTGCCCATTCATATGATGTACTCTTTATAAACAGGACTTGACAGTTTCTCTGGTAACAGGTTATATGTGATATGTATCTATATAGGTTGAATTTAGTACCAGATTTACTTACATAAATCTGGAGTACAATAACTTGTATACATACATAAAAGCTTTTTCTTTTTCTTTCTGACAGTCTCATTATGTTGCCCTTGGTAGAGTGCCATGGCATCATAGTTCACAGCAACCTCAAACTCCTGGGCTTAAGCGATTCTCTTGCCTCAGCCTCCCCAGTAGCTGGGACTATAGGCGCCTGCCAGAACACCTGGCTATTTTTTGTTGTAGCTATCACTGTTGTCTAGCTGGCCCAGGCTGGGTTCGAACCCGCCACCCTTGGTGTATGTGGCTGGCGCTGTAACAGCTGTGCTTCAGGTGCCAAGCCCATAAAAGCTTTTCTAATCGTAACTTGGTAATATCTACTTTCCCTTTTCAATAATCTGGGTTTTCTTTTAAATAGTCTCGCTCAGTCTGTTACCCATGTTTGAGTATAGTCAAATGATAGCTCAGGACAGCCTTGAACTCTTGGGCTCTAGCAATCCTTCTGCCTTACCCTCCTGAATACCTGAGACTACAGGCATATACCACTATATCCAACTAATTTCCCTTATTTTTTGTAAAGACAGGGTCTCAATTTTTTGGTCAGGCTGGTCTCAAACTTCTGGCCTCAAGTAATCCTTCTGTCTTAGCCACCCAAAGTGCTAGTATTACAGGTGTGAGCCACCATGTCTGGCTGAAATTTTCTCTTTGATTCTTTTTATAGGGACAGATATTAAGGGTAGGGTATTGAATATATGAAAAATACAAATAGGTATGTTAATTTACTGTTAGAACATCTATAAGCTCCCAAAGTTTTCATGTCTTCAGCCTCAAGCCATACAGAAATCTGTAAGAAACTGCCAAATCCTGCCCATTTCTTTCAACTAGGGATTAAACCCACATATTATCTATCTAGAATTTCCCAAGCAATTCGACCTTTAATACTTTCTTTATAGTTTGTACCATCTCCAAGATCTATTTCGTAACGTCTTAACTACATTCCTAAATATTCCTTTTTGAATTATTATTCCTGTATTTGCTTTCTTTTGATCAGAGTCATCAATAGTGACACTACATTAAAATTCCTAGTTTTCCTTTGTCCTCTTCATACAAAAAAAAAATCCATCTCAACATGTATAGGTCCTACCTGTCTCTTTAACTGGAAGTCTCTTTGAAAGTTTAATTGAGGCCAGTGGTGGTAGCTCACACCTGTAATGTTAGCCCTCTAAAAGGCCAGAGGCAGGTGCATCCCTTGAGCTCAGGAGTTCAAGATCAGCCTGAGCAAAAGTGAGAGAGACCCATCCCTACTAAAAATAGAAAAACTAGCCAGAGGCCAGGCTCAGTGGCTCATACCTATAATCTTACCACTCTGAGAGGCCAAGGTGGGTGGGTTGCATCAGCTCAGGAGTTCAAGACCAGCCTGATCAAGAGGTTAGACTCCGTCTCTAAAAAACTAGCTGGGCGTTGAGGCAGGCACCTGTAGTCCTAGCTACTCAGGAGGCTGAGGCAAGAGATTGCGTGAGCCTTGGAGTTTGAGGTTGCTATGAGCTGATGCCACAGCACTCTATCAGAGTTACACAGTGAGACTCTGTCTAAAAAAATTTTTTTAAAAGTGTGGTGCCTGTGGCTCAAGGAGTAGGGCGCTGGCCCCATAAACCGGAGGTGGCAGGTACAAACCCGGCCCTAGCCAAAAACAAAAACAAAAAAAGTCTGTGAAATAAAAAATTTAATTGAAAGGTTGGATATGCTCTGAGTATGGAATCCTGATACAAATAGAACTGAAATGCAGAGGGCATTTCTTGATGGCACTGACTTCTGAACGAGCTGATATTTGAGATGACCTAAAGAAGGAGGCCAACCTTTGAAGAAAAAGTCACTTACGAAATTTGTGAAGAGCTGGTCACTGATATAGCGATGTACCTTCTCAAACTGCTCCAGGTCTCGATGTCCCCTCTCCATGCACACGTCCCACATACTCACCGCAGCCACCACTTTCACACACGCTGACTCCTGAAGTGAATTAGAACAGATGTGAATAAGAATAAGCAGAATTTTTTGGCCTCATCATTCATCCTGTACAGTGGTCTACGACAAAGGGTTCCATAATTCAAGATCTCTCTAGTACCGTATTTTAGCTTTGAAATAAGCATCCTCTTGTAAACTAGTCTTTATGGGGCACAGAAAAGTCCACAACTTTAAGTTACAGAAAAACTGGTGAGGGCTCTTAGCTTCTCTTGAGCATCTATCTAACTGTATCGTGTGTCCCTAACGTGAGGGTTTCTTAATTCACCAGAGTCATAATCAAATTAGAACCAAGATGATTCCTGCAGGATTATGCCAATGACCAATTACCTGTCCTTGCTCAAGTCTTGGCTCAGGCCATCACCTTCTCAAAGACAATGGCCTGGCACCCTCTAAGAATCTCAACCTTCATCAGCTACGTGACTCTGACACTCCCAAGGGCTCTCGCTCTGCTTTTGCTGAACATGTGAGGGACCCATCATACAGCCCCTCCTAACTGTTGACCGCAACAGTTTGAACCCCAGCTTGGACTTCTTGGGATCTTCTCTGGTTACATCACACACTACCGGGTCTTTTGCCTTTTTTAGTTTAAGTTTAGGGAACATCTGTTACTTTGATATTAACACACGAATTCTAAATGGACTAAATACTGCATTTGTATATTTCAAGGGCAAACAAAGTCCCTAAGCTAAAACCATTAGTATCTCATACATTGGTGTGATGTTTTTATTTTTAGGACAATTTTAGACCTGTATCCTTAAGTCTGATACCTATCCATTAAAGCCAGTGCTTTGTCAGATAAAGTGGGGAATGTTTGTAATTCCCCTCAAGTGAGTAACCTCATGTGAAACATGACATCCTGTTAATCCCCCCACCTTTTTTGGCAACCATGTATGGGGCTGAGTTTTTCTTTTGAGACTGAGTTTCACTTTGTCGTCTCGATAGAGTGCCATAGTATCACAGCTCACAGCAACCTCAAACTCTGGGCCTTAAGCAATTCTCTTGCCTCTACCTCCCAATTAACTGGGACCACAGGCAACTGCTACAACGCCTGGCTAGTTGTAGAGACAGAGTCTCACTCTTGCTCGAGACTTGCTCTTGTTCGAGGAGTCTCGAACTCCTGAGCTGAAGCCATCCACCTGTCTTGGCCTTCTAGTGTTAGGATTATAGGCATAAGCCACTGCACTCAGCCTCTTAATTCGTTTTAAATGAATGTCGTAAAGTTCCCAAATAGCCCCTATGCCAATGTAGAGGCCAAATAATACAATGTCCCTCAGCTTATGTTCTTGCTGGCACTGTCTCTATTAGTCAATCTATCTAACTGTATTATTTGGCAGGGCTTTTCATTTTATGTCAGTGACAAAACTGTTCAAAGCTTTCTCTTAATTTTTAACATCAGCTCAGCACCTGTGGCTCAAGTGGGTAAGGTACCAGCCACATACACCTAAGGTGGCGGGTTTGACTCCAGCCCGGGTCTGCCAAACAACGATGGTGGCAACCAATAAAAATAGCTGGGCATTGTGGCGGGCATCTGTGGTCCCAGCTACTTGGGAGGCGGAGGCAGGAGACTTGCTTGAGCCCAGGAGTTGGAGGTTGCTGTGAGCTGTGATGCCACAGCATTCTACCCAGGGGGACAGCTTGAGGCTCTGTCTCAAAAAAAAAAAAAATTTTTTTAACGTCAACAGTCAGAACCAAAATGACCCATCTATTAGAGGGCTGTTAATATTACATATGTCCCACCTTAAAATGCTTCCTGTCATTGCTATGGAGATGAGCCTTATTAAGGGTTGCGGGCTCAGGTATATACTTGCTATACATTTAGAAACATTGGTAGAAAATAGGCAATGGAGTACTGGAATTAGAGGGACTGTAGGGGAAAGTGTTAAGAAGTGGCAACACAAAGGACAATACTCGGTAGTTCCCAATGATGGAATTCTTATTTGGTTTTAGAAATGGTGTCTTGCTACGTTGCCCAGGCTGGCCTTGACCTCCTGGGCTCAGATGATCCTCCTGCCTCTGCCTCTTTAGGATGTGGGACTACAGATGCATATCACCACACCTGGCTCATGTCCCAATATTGTTTTTGTTAAATCTCTCACTTTAAGCCAACAGGTTCCCAAAAAGTTTGACAAGCCCTCCCTAATTTTATCTAACTATGCTTTTAAAACATGAAGGGAGAAAGTTTGCTATTTAAAAGAAACATAGGGAACATTTCAAGTCAGTGGAGATTAGTACAAAAATATAGTAAGTTTTTTAAATCTTGAAATAGTTAAGGCCTTTTCTACCTAAGAAGCCATAAAAAGGTTTAATTCAACAATACAAAGATAAAACTTTTTGACATGGATAAATCTCTGTAAGAAAATGCAGAAGTCAACAAACTTAGAGGAAACATTAAATATTTGCAAACTGTCATCTTAGACAAAAGACAATTTCCTTCAAAGTATGGAGGTTCCAAAGATTGGTAATGATACAATCAATAGTTCTGTAAGTGCACCAAAATATGTAAATCATGGAAAAAGTGACTTAAACATGAAAAAATTGCAAACTTATAAGCAACGCAAATTTAAACTATATTGTAATAGTTTTACTTATTTTTTTAGATAAAATGTTTTGATAAATGTGTAATAGGGAGACATCATTGCTGGTGGGACCTTTAGGTTTACAACATCTATGAAATTTAATAATAGCTTCTTGTTTTGACCAAATGTATATTCCCTATAATTTGAGTTAGTAATACTCTGGCCTTTAGATATACTCACACAGATCAGAATACGATGTATCTACAAGGATGTTCCTTGTGCCACTGGGTCTGATCCTTCTGCAACAGCAATTTAAATATCTACCAGTAGAGGGCTAGTTAAATCTATCATGGCACCTCCACATAATCAAATACTACGCTGCTGTAAAAAAGGAAGCTCTGTTGTGTGGCTATGGAATTACTTCTAAAATGTTATTAAGTATGAAGCCCAAAGCATGAGAAAGTGTATATCCCTACAGCCTCCGCCCTCCCATGGGCTGTCTCTGATAGGAGAGAAGAATCTGATGAAAGGTGACTATCTCTATAAGATGACTGGGTAACAGGGTGGGAGGAAGAATCACTTTTACAAAAAAGCAAAGCATCTCTTTTAAAGACAGTTATTTACTTTGTAAGATCAAATGTTCATGTGTAAGGGATGAGAACAGTACCTACTTACACCACTCCATAAAATCAACAGAGAAATCAGAGATAAGAATAGAAAAGATTCTAGTCCTGGTTCTGACTTCATGAGAAAAGCACTGCTTGAGGCAAGAAAAGGTCCAGGCCCATCTCAGCTCTGTGGCTTCTCCAGTTTTCCAAAGCTATCCATGGTTCTAACAACTTCAGAGGCCTTCTGCGTAGCAATTTAATAATTAGGGCACCAACGAGATCAGAAAGCGCTTCCAGCAGGGTAGTCTCTCACTCTTATCTACTGCCCGTTGTTACTTTGTTCTGTTTCCTGCTATATTCAAATCTTCAAACTGGTTTTGATAAACTGTAACAAGTACTTTTTATTTATTTATTTTTTAGAGACCGAGTATCACTCTATTGCCCTTGGTAGAGTGCTGTGCTGTCACAGCTCACAGCAACCTCCAACTCCTGGGCTTAGTCGATTCTCCTGCCTCAGCCTCCCAAGTAGCTGGGACTACAGGTGCCCACCACAACACCTGGCTATTTTTTTTGTTGGAGTTTGGCTGGGGCGGGTTCAAACTTGCCACCATTGGTAGATGTGGCTGGTGCCCTGCTCACTGAGCCACAGGTGCCACCCAACAAGTACTTTTTAAATAACTAGGTAGATGAGACTTAAAAGGTGTGTCTTGGGGAAAAGGGTAATGAAGATTGAGAGGAGGAAGGAAAGAGCTGGGCCACTTTAATGTAACAGCATTAATCTTCTAAATGTTGTCTAACTTTTAAATAACCCGTGGGAATCCCAATAAAGAGTGTGTGGTAGCTTAATGGTTCCTTGAGTTCAGATCACTCACCAACACAAAGGATGAACAGGATAGGGGACAGAATCACACCGTAATGACTAACGAGGGTAATGTTGATTCTCACCCGGATATGCTGGAGGTAGAGAGACAGGTCTCGGATAAAAGACTTAATCAATCTTTCTTGCATTCGAAAGTTCTTTTCTGTTTCTTCAAATGCTTCATCTTTTATCTGTTCAAAATAAACAAGTGCTCTTAGCAAATATGGACTCCCCCATAATCCATCTTATTACCAAAAGTAGCTTTCCTTTTTTTTTTTTTTTTGAGACAGAGTCTCACTCTTGCCCTGGGCAGAGTACTATGGCATGGTCTTAGCTCACAGCAGTGTCAAACTCTCGAGCTCAAATGATCTTCTTGCCTCAGTCTCCAGTGTAGCTGAGACTATGGTTGCCTACCATGACACTGGGCTAGTTTTTCTATTTTTAGTAGAGATGGGGTTTTGCTTTTGCTCTAGCTGGTCTTGAACTCCTAAGCTTCCACTGCCCTCAGCCTCTCAGAGTGCTAGGATTACACACGTGACTTGTACACCTTGTAAGCAGGTCACCAAGGCCCAAATGCAGAGTTGGAGGTGGAAATCTCACCTTGTTTCCACCAGCCAGCAAAACCAGAGAAGCCCTGGAGGGAACCATGCCCATGGATGCCAGGCTGCTCCTGGGAACCCTGAAAAGCTGTCATACACGTGTTGAGCCTTTAGGTTCTGGGATCTCACCTGAGGAGCAAAGCCAGTGAGGTGCTTCAAGTGACTGCTAACGCGGTTAGATTTCTTGATGATGGAGTGGATGTTCAGTTTGGAAATTTTCTCCATAAGGCTATCTTCATCACCCTTACGGTACTTGAGGACTAGGAAATGAGTCAAAAAAGCACTTTCCTAAGCATAGATCTAATATAAGATGAGAATGAAACAGGACCAACAACCCAAAATGAAGCTGGCCCTATCTTCTATGAGTTTACAACTGAGCAGACAAAACATTAATCCAAATAATCATTTTGGACAAATATGACACCGTGAGCAGCAGGAGAAAGGAAGGTGGCAGAGGTGTGAGGGAAAGAACCTGAGATTTAGTGTCAAGGACCTCTGAGTCCAGAGCCTGGGTCTCCCACTTCATTTTACTGCTTCTTGAGCCTCATTTTCCTCTTCAATAAGACGCAGAAAGTAGTAGTTGCCTTATAAGACCATCAGAGAAGGCCTCATATAGAAATCAGATACTTATGTCCACTGGTCTCTCACAGTAAAATGCTATACAGCAGCATCTGATTAACTTTCACGTCATGTTAGACTTGCTCTGGAGGAAAGTCTAAAAGTAGAGGAGTAGCGAGCAGAAGCCTGGGTGGCATTAACCCCCCTTGTTGTAGAAGGTGGCAATGATGGCACATTTAGGAGATATGAACCAACAGAAACGGCTGGATGGCCAGAGCGTTCAGAGCCACAGGCAACAGCCCATACTAATGTGGGTATATGATTCAACTAAAAGGCAGACATAATGATTTCTAGATAACATTAAAATGTTGAAAGGATGACAGAAAGACAAAAAGGTATAGTATATTATAGGTTGCTGAGAATATGAGTAAGTCAGCTTAGAACAACCCTCATGTTGTACTCATTAGGGCCCTGAAAAGACATGTGCTGAATGAGGGGGAGAGGTTCGGTTCATTCTGTCCTGTAGACAAGGAGGGTATGGACTAGACAGTGTTGAGAGAGGCAGGAATGCTGGGACCCAGGGAGACGGAGTGGGTTTTTTAAAAACACAAACAGTCCCACCTGTAGTGGAAGCTACAAGACATTCAATAAGCCCTATGGAGAAAAGCGATCTAAGCATGGACTGAAAAGGAATGCCTTCCCTGACTTGAGGGGACCTTCCAAGCTTGAAGAACTCTTCTGTTCAACCATTCTCAAGTCTGTCTTCGTATCTCCTGGGAAAGGCCTTATTGCTACATGCTTTATCAGAGATGCCTTATTTCTAACATTCCAGGGTGATTTTTTTTTTATTTTTGTCCTTTTTAAAAAATATCACAGCTCTCCCTAATTCTACTACCATTTCTTCATCTCAGCCCTATTATACCTACCATCTTATCCAACTCTGGGAAAGTAATTCTTTTACTTATTTTTTAAAATTTCTTTTAGACAGGGTCTCGCTCTGGAGCACAGTGGTATAATCACCACTCACTGCAACTTCGAATTCCAGGGTTTAACTGGTCTTCCTGCCTCAGCCTCCTGAGAAGCTAGGATAACAGGGTGTTGCTATATGCAGATTAGTCTCAAACTCCTGGGCTCAAGTGACCCTCCTCCCTCTGCCTCCCAAAGTGCTGGGATTATAGGTGTGACCCACTATACCTGGCACAATTCTCAATTAATTAGGGAGAAAGCACTTTTAAAGGGCATACCTCCTTTTCACCAATTATGCTTTACTTACCCAGATCCTTTCGCCGTTTATATTCATTAATGTTAACATTGATTTCTTTGACTGCAAGGACTGCATTGGTTAAAGGCACTTTGTCTGGGTGAGATTCTGGAGTGGAATTCAGCAACTCCATCAGTAACAGTGGGTAACGCATTATTCTCTGAACTGGTTTGATGAGGAAGGAGCCCAGGTTAATATAATTTGTGCATCCCCTATAAAAGGAAAGAAAGACTCTAGTTAGCTGTCAATAAGACAGTGCCTGTGGATAGTATCTGTTCCTAAATATAGCTGTTCTTTTACCTTACTTTCTTAGTTCACTTAACAAATATTTCCTAGGCATGTACTACTTATTCTAGGTGTTAGGGATCTAATAGTGACTCAGTGGGAGAAGTCAGGCAATAAACAAAGTGTCATTTGGTGTGCTAAGTGTTATAAAAAAATACAGCAAGGTGAATCTACTTCTAGGTTTATCTACAAAGGAAGAAAATAAAGTCAGTCTTTTAAGGGCGAGGAAAAATCCACTAAAGAAATGAGCTCTTGTATCAACTAGTGATGGAACTTACCATTCACTGTACAGGGTTCTACATGGCAGTGGCATGGAAAAAAAAGAGACAGCTTATTAGAGACACGGCACAGATTTTCTTCTTTCTTTTTTCTTTTTTTTTTTTAGACAGAGGCTCAAGCTATCCCCCTGGGTAGAGTGCCATAGCATCACAGCTCACAGCAACCTCCAACTCCTGGGCTCAAGCAAGTCTTCTGCCTCCGCCTCCCAAGTAGCTGGGACCACAGGTGCCCGCCACAACACCCTGCTATTTTTTTGGGTTGCAGCCGTCACTGTTTTTTTTTGGCGGGCCCAGGCTGGATTCGAACCCGCCACCTTAGGTGCATGTGGCTGGCGCCTTAGCCACTTGAGCCACAGGTGCCAAGCCAGATTTTCACATTCTTCTCAGAACATACCTATTAGGCACACAAAGATCACATGTAATAAAAAGGACACTACATCAATGGGAGCATATCTAGCCTACTAAAAAAAATTTAGCAGCCTTAAATTTTACTGTGATCTATAGTACCTATCCATATATTAAATCTTTAGAACTTGCTTAAGTCCAAGAGAATAACACCTGATGTCAAGAATAATTTGGTCTTTGGTCTTGTTCATTTGGACTAAGCTATCTTCTTGGCTGCTGTTTACCTGAAAATGCTAAATTAATAATTTTCATATATGGATAAAAGTGGTTTAAAAAGACAAGACTACAAGCAGGAAGCACTTAAGATTTCCATGTGGCATAATGGGAATAGGACAAGTTACATAATAGGATATGTCTAATGTATGTTTAAAATAAGGTAGATAAAAAGTACAAACATTCACACAGAGTGACTTCTAAAGGACAGAACTAAGGAGTTATGATAGAAATAAAATGTTCAAAACTCCTACTTAAGGGCGGTGCCTGTGGCACAAGGAGTAGGGTGCCAACCCTATATACCAGGTGCAGTGGGTTTGAGCCCGGCCCCGGCCAACTACTACTACTACAAAAAAAAAAACAACTCCTACTTAAGATCTGCCAAAGAGTCCTGAAGATGCTTCTGGATCTTCTCATCCTTCTCATAGATCTCCAGCAGTGAAATGGCTTCATCGTGATTCTGGCAATAAACCTTGTATGTTCCCTCAAGCTCATCCCGGTGATCCAGAAACACAGGTCCTTAGAATACACACAAAGTGTTCTTAGTAACTTTCTTCTCACTAGCCTAAATACAAGTTACATAGCCAAACTTTAGTATCAATTAAATCCTATTTATTATAAGAAACAAGGGTATCTATCAAAATAATAAATTTCCATGTAAGGGCTTAAAGTTATCATGTAAAACAAAACTTAGAGACTGATATCATGTATTAATTTTTTAGAATACATAGCTGGTCCCTGAAACAGAGCCTCCAGTCCCTTTCTAACTAGGCCAAGTGAGGTATCTGCAAGCACTGTCCCTCACTTTCTCATCTCCAGGGGAAATCTTTAGAAAGAAGAAGATTTAGCAGCAGTTTCTCACTTTGTGCATAAATAAAAATGTAAATAAAATTCATTACATTAAAATATAATATTAAAAAATCTCCAATCTGGGCCAGGTGTGGTGGCTCACACCTATAATCCTAGCACTCTGGGAGACTGAAGTGGGTGGATTGCCTGAGCACACAGGTTCAAGACCAGCCTGAGCAAGAGTGAGAGCCTCTCTCTAACACAGCTGGATGTTGTGGCAGGTGCCTGTAGTCCAGCTACTTGGGAAGCTGAGGCAAGAGACTCACTAGACCCCCAAGAGTTTGAGGTTTCTATGAGCTGTGATGCCACAGTACTCTATCGGGAATAACAAAGTGAGACTCTGGGGATTTTTTTTTTTTTTTTTTTTTGAGACAGTCTGTGATTTAATAAGATACATACTTTTTTTTTCCATCTGACCTCTGACCGTATCTGGCCTGCTCTCGCTGTCTGCTTTCTAAGAGTCCCGCGAGAAAAAACTACTTGCATCAGACAGCATCTAAGACTCATCTCTGACAGGAACTGGATTGAAAAGAAGTCAGCTCAAGGGAAAATGGAGAGCCCTGGACACAGCAACAGGTAATAAAGTAAATTGGAAGAAAAATGAATAATTGCTTAATAATTAATCCCTTTTAGATACCAGCCAAATTTCTCTCATGTCTTTCATAATTCAAAAATAAGACCTACAGATACTTATTTTGAATGGCTTATAAATCGGCTTTTATACTTTATCATATTAAAACTCTGGGTCATTGTGACTTCTTCCTGCTCAGCTCAATGTGTACTTCTCCTTTCCCAACCTCTCTCTCTAGACAGACCAAGAGCAAGGTCCCCAGGCTTCAGTTTCTCTAACCATTCCACAGAGTGTGAGACCCACAGATCTTTTTTTGTATAGAGGCTAATAGCATGAGCCTGGATGACAGAAAGACCCAAGTTTGAATGCAGTCCCATCAGTTACTAGTTATGAGACCTTAGGCAAATTAGCTTCTAAATCTGTTACGTCATCTGCAAAATAAGATTAAGGGTGCCTAAACCTCAGAGTTGTAGGAAACAACTGAGCCCCAGCGTGGCATATCTAGAGAGGGCACATGGAGTATGATAAATGCTCAAGAAACATCAACTATGTTGATGACCCCTCAGCATTTTCAGCCATCTACCCCTTCCCACAGGAGGGCAGAACTCTGATTTTGTTTCTCTGTCCATTCTTTTCCCAGGTGAGTCAGCTAAATGCTGCCCAGTCTAAACCAACATCACAGCCCTATTCCCCCTCCAGCCATCAATTTAGGCTACGTGACCTATTAGTATGTCTGCAGCCAAGTTTGGCCAATGAAAAATGAGGAGAAATCTGATGCAGGAGCTCTGGAAAACATTTACAACTCTTTTTTTTTTTTTTTTTTGAGATGGAGCCTCAAGCTATCCCCCTGGGTAGAGTGCCATGGCATCATGCTCACAGCAACCTCCAACTCCCGGGCTCAAGCGAGTCTCCTGCCTCAGCCTCCCAAGTAGCTGGGACTACAGGCGCCTGCCACAATGCCTGGCCATTTTTTGGTTGCAGCCATTATTGTTGTTTGGCGGGCCCGGGCTGGGGATTTGAACCCGCCACCTTAGGTGTATGTGGCTGGCGCCTTAGCGGCTTGACCACAGGCGCCAAGCCAACATTTACAACTCTTAAAACGAACACTTTTTCCTTTGACTGGATGTCATCAGGTATAGCGGATGGCTGGAACTATGGTAGCATCTTGTAACTAAGATTCCAATAAAATAGCCAAATGGTTAGGTTATCCCCTCCAGGGCTGGTCTCTATGACCAGTAGAATATGGCAAAAATGTTGGTTCTAGAGCTCCTGGGTCAGGCTTGCAGTCCATGGACTGAGGCCTGAAGAGCAGAGTGGGCTTTCTAGGAAGTAGATTACTGAGCCCCGGCCAACAGCCTGACTCCAGCCTCATGAGAGACCCTGAGCCAGAACCACTCTACTAAGGCATTTTCAGATTCCTGACCAAAAGAGTCTGTGAAGTGAAACGTTTAAAATTTTAAGCTGCTAGCGACAGATAACCAGTTTCCTTATGTGTAAGAAATAGATGAATATTTTTAAAAAAATTTTTAACCTGATTTTTTTTTATTATGAATGAATGTTTTAAAAACATTCTTGACAGGCAGCGCCTGTGGCTCAGTGAGTAGGGCGCCGACCCCATATACTGAGGGTGGCAGGTTTGAACCCAGCTCCAGGCCAAACTGCAACAAAAAAATAGCTGGGCGTTGTGGTGGATGCCTATAGTCCCGGCTACTCGGGAGGCTGAGGCAAGAGAATCGCCTAAGCCTAAGAGCTGGAAGTTGCTGTGACACCACAGCACTCTACCGAGGGTGACAAAGTAAGACTTTGTCAAGAATTTTTGTTTTTATAGAGACAATGTCCCACATCAATAAATACAATAAATTTTAAATCACATCTTGGCGTGCATGTATGTGGAATGCAAATAAGTTTTTAAAAATAGTATTTTCAGAATGTATTATAAACAGTAACTACTAATATTTTCTATTTTATTGAAAAATATGTATGTACTGGGTGGGAACCACCAAATTGATTTCATGACCCAGTAATGGGCTGCCACGATCAGTCTGAAAAACATACTATTGCTAGCATCCTACCTCAAAGCCGCCTGAGATACAAGAAGCAGAGATGGGTGCTGGAGACAGTTTGTGGTTTAAGTAACGCTGCATTTCCTTGGCATAATATCAGAAGCTTCCTGCCCCTCACCCAACATATGAAGTTTTTTAAAAAGCTGCTGCTTAAACGATGGCAAGGGCTCATACCTACAGCATCGCTGATTTCCAGAGCAGCCAATAATTGCTTTGATACTTTAATCACCATCTGCATATTTCCAAAAAGTCCCTCAAAGTCAATGTTTGGTACCTGAGAAAGGGAAACAAAATATAAAAATGCATGGAAATGAAATCAACAGTGTATCACTCATATATCTCTTCAAGGACTATATGAAAATTGCTCAACATATTCTCTTTACTCACTTTGACAAAGTTTCTAGAATAGAAACATCTAACATTATCCTTAGTGTCACACTTTGTCCTTCAAGTATTCTCTGCTCTCCTGACCAGCTTCTTAGTAAAGTGACTGTGGAACCAACCAATTTGGCCTGTAAATAAACTGGGCTACAAACTGTCACCAGCACCCATCTGATGGCACTGCCCACTAGCTACAGAAGTTCTTGGGAATGAAGGCCTTGAGAATATAAACCCAAGCCCAGCCTAGGTGGTCAAGTAACTCCCTGGGATATGTTCCCCTTTCCTTATCCAGCACCTAGAAAAGTCCCTAGCCTGTGCAGATGTAAGAGTCTGAGCAGATAAGAAAATCAGAGAACCCTTACTCCAAGACTTTGTCATACTATTATACAGTCTTCCCAGCAGAGCCACTATTCAGACTCCCTGGACCTGTTTTTAGAGCCCTAGAAAGAGGAGATGTCCTAGGGTTACTGTATTAAGTCTGGTAGGTTAATAGGAAACTTGACAAGTGATAGGTTAAAGGTTACAGCTGAAACTAAAGGTTTCAGCTGATGATGACACATGTATCATGGGGCTCTTGATTAAGAGCAGCAGCCACAGTCACAGCCTTTATTTCAAACCCAATTAATCTCTGTGGTGAAAGCTCACATAGCCTAGTGCTTCCTACTTAGAGGACCATATTCCCAGTCTATCTCACTGGTTCCCCCACAGTTCCCACCTGTGCCTGCTGCAGGGGTACCATGATCCGCTCAATACACATTTCCAGATCCCGAATGTAGTCTCTTTCCGTCTGAAGAAGTTCTTCTACCACCTTGGCTCTCTTCTCCAGCATCCTTTGCTCTGGGTTTTCAGTGGACATAGACCCAGGAGAGGCCACCAGTGATGAAGATTGGGAGGAGAGGAGCGTCATTTCTAGAAGGGAAAAGAGAACTGGTCAGCAGCTCTGGGTGTGAAAACAGGAGTCTTCAATAGTCTGAGTCCAGAGAACACACTCCTCGAGAGTCAAAGTTCTCACTGCTGCTGACCACCTGGAAATCTGATCATACCTGTCAGTTCTAAAACGGACAGCTGAAGTGCATAGGAAGCCACCCCTGCAGAGAGAACTTTTCCCACCTATGCAATACCATTTGGAGAATTTGTCCTAAAAAGGAGTAGCTGGCCCATTTCAAAAGGACAAATCAGTGTCTACAAGCTCCTTACAAGAGGTTAAAAATGGTCTGGTCTGGGTGGCACCTGTGGCTCAGTGAGTAGGGTGCTGGCCCCATATACTGAGGGTGGCAGGTTCAAACCCAGCCCCAGCCAAACTGCAACAAAAAATAGCTGGGTGTAGTGGGCTCTTGTAGTCCTCACTACTTGGGAGGCTGAGGCAAGAGAATTGCCTAAGCCCAAGAGCTGGAGGTTGCTGTGAGCTGTGATGCCATGACACTCTACCAAGGGTGACAAAGTGAGACTCCATCTCTAAAAAAAAAAAAAAAAGTCTGGTTGTACCAAGCCTGGTTTCCTGATGTCAGATATAAAACCTGTTCCATGATGTCAAATAGCAGAAATACTAAGCTGAAAACTAAAAATAAAGATACAGTACTTAAAATATTATGGGGAATATAAACGATGTCAAAAGAATTATTATTAGAGATCTAGACAACTGTAGGGCCTATCATTTTCCAGACACTCTGATGGTGGATTAATATTAATATATAATAAAACAGATAAAAAATTTAGATTCTCTCCATGAAAACCTTAATCAAGGCTGAGAGTGGTAGCTCATGACTGTAATCCTAGCACTCAAGGCAGCTCACTGCTTGAGCTTAAGAGTTTGAGACCAGCTTGAGCGAGGGTGAGACCCCATCTCTACTAAAAATAGAAAAATTCGCCAGGCATGTGCCTATAGTCCCAGCTACTTGGGAGGCTGAAGCAGGAAGACCATACCTAGCTATAAAATTTACTTTTAATGGTCTTGTTTCAAATTTTTTGTGATTTCTGGCTTGATGCCTGTAGCACAGGGGTTACGGCACCAGCCACATGTACCAAGGCTGGCAGGTTCAAGTCCAGCCCAGCCCAGGTAAACAACGATAACAACTGCAACAAGAAAATAGCCAGGCATTGTGGTGGGTGCCTATAGTCCAAGCTACTTGAGAGGCTGAGGCAAGAGAATTGCTTAAGCCCAAGGTTAAGCAATTGAGGTTGCTGTGAGCTACGATGTTACAGCACTCTATTGAGGGTGACATTGTGAGACTCTGTCTCAAAAAAAAAAAAAAGATTTGTGATTTCAATACAACAGATTTTCAGTTCTAAATATGTCATTAGGGGCAAGTTGAGAAAAGGAACTCATTTTAAATAGATTAAAAAGCTCTGGAAAGGGAGAATATGTATTGAATTCCAATCACATGCTACATACTTTACTGATTATATCCCTGTACTTATTTAATATATCAAAATTAGGCCAGACACAGTGGCTCACACCTGTAATCTAGCACTCTGGGAGGCCGAGGCAGGTGGACTGCCTGAGCTCAGGAGTTTGAGACCAGCCTGAGCAAAAGGTAGATTTGTCTCTACTAAAAACAGAAAAAATTAGCCAGTGTGGTGGCAGATGCCTGTAGTCCCAGCTATTCCGGAGGTTGAGGCAAGGGGAATCAGAACAGAGGAGTTTGAGGTTGCTATGAGCTATGAGGACACCATGGCACTCTACCCAGGGCCACAGAGTAAGACTTTTCTCCAAAAAACAAAAATTTTGAAGGTCATTTGAGATCATTTTTCTATCATTTAATAATAAAACCAAGGCTTTGAGAAGCTGGCCAGTTTGTCTGCGATTATGTAGGACTAAATGGCAGTTCTGGAATTAGAACCTAAATATATTTAAATCCAAATCCTATGTACTTAATCCTGTATCATAGCCTAGAATCATAACTAGAAAAGGTCAGGGGCTTATTTGCTTCAAATATTAAAAACTTCCTGGAAACTACAGCACTCTCTCCCCGGAGTGAAATTCTGTTAATTATAGTGGTTGAAAGCACAAAGTACCAGCAATCACACAGTACTCATCAATTAAAAGCCAGGCCAGCATGGAGTTTAGAAGCTTTTGAATAACCTTTAAAAAACCCTGTAGGGTGTTTTCGCTAAATGGTGGTTTCCTGGACACCACTCCTGAGATTGATTTTGCAAATCTGGATGGGACCCGGGTATCAGCAATTTAACAAAACCTGAGATGTTTCTGAAGTTAACAGATGAACTTCCGTTTCCACAAATATATTAATTTATACTCAAAGAGTTCACAAGGATTAACTAAAAAAAAAAAAAAAAGTCTGGCTTGAAATGTCTCCAAGTGTAAAAAATGTTTTCCCCTTATTCCACATATATTCTAAGAAAAACCTACTCCACAATTTTAGTATCTGGGACAACCAAGTGAGAGAAGGTAGCCCAAAGCCTTAGCCAGCTGCAGTGAAAACAGATTTTGAACCTTGCACGTCCCAACACAGGGCTGGGAAGCGCTGGAGAAGTGTACTTTTATCTCTGGGCTTCAATTTCCTCATCTGTAAAAGAAGGATAATAGCTGCTCTGCAGAGCAGTTGAGTGAATTAACCAAGGTTAATGAGCTAAGGAAAGTTAGTACTTTTCTCACCATGAGCCGGAAGATGCCGGCCACACCAGATTAAGGGCAAATGCACCAACAAGAAAATGCCCTGTGGAGACGCTAAAATTCTATTCTTCGGTAAGAACAATACAATCTGGGGATGAGCGAGCACACGGAGGAATCAGAGGTCCTGTACAACCAATCAATAAAACGTGCCGATTGAGCGCTCACTTTCAACCTGGAAAAGCCCTGCAGGTGTTTAGCTGGGACGGTAGCATGAATTTACTTTCCGAGCTAAAATAATTTGGGGGGGGGGTTGTTTTTTGATGGCAGTTGCTCCCCTTCCTCGCCGCCTCCTCCCCTCCGTCCCGCTTCCATCCTTCTCAAGACTCCTCCGCCCGGTTCAGGTTAGGGCGCGATCACCGGGCTCACGTCCCCAAGGAGTAAGACGGGTGGCGTCAACTCACAGCTTCTCATAACTCCATCACACACTTCAAAACAGAGTTAAAAAGCAAAGGCACGCACACTGCCCTGGCTGCGGTGAGCTGGCTCTATTGCCGGTGGAGAAAATCTCTGAGTGCCCGCTAGTCGCAAGTGCCCGGGAGCGGGGACGAGGAAGCCACGAGTCCCAGCTCCTCCCGCGCCGGCTCCGCAGCCCCGGGACGTACCTGCAGCACCCGAGTGTGCGGCACGGACGGGCGGGGCGGGGTGTAAGCCAGCCGAGCAGAACCTTCCCAGGACTCTGGAATGTTCCTCAGTCCCCTAAAACCCTTTGTACACGGCCAGCATTCCACCCGGCTTCCAGCATTTACATATGAATCGGCCGAGTCACCCGGGCTATCTCTGCACGGCCAGTCCTAAAGGACGGAGCTGGAACCCTCCGCTCCCTGGACCGCGACGTGCCAGAGCTCTGCCCCAGCTCCACAACCCTCGTCTCCTTCGCTTTCCTCCCCTGGTCCTAAACCCTCGAAATTCCACCTCAGGAAGTTTAATCCAAGATTCCTATCTTTTGCTTTTTCTTCTCTCTACTAAACTGTGTGTGGTTTTCGTTTGTTTTTGTTTGGGGACGACGGGTGAGGCCCCTTTCAGGGATGTATTCCAAAGGCTAATCCATCTCTTGTAACGAGAGGCCAAACTGTAAAGTGGCAGCAGTTGCCTAACTTGTCACCCCAGGGGCCCTCTTTCTGCTGTCCCTTTCCGGGGTTTTGCCAAGGGACCCCAGACCTCCTCCCGTGGGCACCGAAGCAGATCCCAGCCGTTCAAGTGAAAGGACGGCTCCAGCAAGGACGAAAAGAGTGACTCACAGGGGCTTGGTGCCCCTTCACACTCCTGTCTTGCACACATTTACACTTCTAAGGAACCCAAGGAGAATAAAGTTGCACAACAATGTGCATTCTTTCTTTTTTTTTCTTGAGACAGAGTCTCACTATGTCGGGCTCTGCCCTCCTAAAGGACTATGGTGTCACAGCTCACAGCAACCTCAAACTCTTGGGCTGAAACGATTCTCCTGCCTCAGCCTCCCAAGTAGCTGGGACTACAGGCGCTCAGCTATTTTTTTTTTTTTTTTTGCTATAGTTGTCATTGTTGTTTAGTAGACCTGGGCTGGTACCAGCCCCAGTGTGTCAGCACCCTAACCACAGAGCTATGGGCACTGAGCCTGGTCTATACTCTTAACCAATGGCTATCCTGCCTCCAGTTCTTTTCCCAGGCAGTAAATCACGTGAGTTATGACCTAGAATCCCACTTCTGGGTTTTGGTGGTTTTCTGGTAGCTAATGCTGAAGTGGTACATATTTAAAGTACAATTTAATCTAATCTTTAGAACCACAGTTCGTACCCAATAAGACTGAACAATGATGGACATATGCAGCATATACTACAGTAGAATCTCCTTAAAGATCATCATCCAAGGGACTGGAACAAATCAGTCAATATACCAACGAGGTCAACATAGGAACTAGGCCACCTGTACTGAGGTCTACATGTGGTACATGTCCAGTCCATGAAAATAAGGTCAACTTAAGGAGGTGGTCAACTATGGAGGTTCTACTTATTCAAGTATTCATATGTTTATAGCTATAAAACCACACTCAGTATAACAAATTATAAATCTTTGGACAGAATAAAATCTAGTCATCTCACACATAGTAAATATTAAGCAGTATTATAGATAATTTACGGCAAAAATTATGTGAAATCGAGGGCAAGTCCTGTTTTATTATGTCCTTTGATTTTAAAAATTAAAGCAGAGGGCAAAGAAGTATAAGGGAGTAGATAAAAACCTTAATATTTCCTCTATTTCTAAAAAAAATCAAATCTTTTAACCTAGGACCTTTCCTTTAGGA